GCGCCGCATGGGTCTCGCTCACAGGCAGCTTCTCCGATCCCAGAGCAAACCCCAAACCCTGAGCACTCTGGCCAGCCAAGGCCATTTCTGGGGCTACAGGGTCAGATAAAGGGAAACACAGAGTGAAATGCAGCACCAGGATTCAGGAGCAAACTTTGAAGTTCCCCAAAGCTTGGAGGGATTTGCTCCAAGAGGTTTGGCTCAGGATTTCCATTCTTCCCCAGTAATCCCCCCCCAGCCAAAATCAGGACAAGCATTTGTATGGACCCAGTGTTTTGCTCACAGAGAAAACCATTACTGGCAGCGCCACAGACCTTGCAAGGATCCTCTGTCTTTAGCAAGCACAGCACAAGTGGTGTCTCAAGAAGCTTCCTGACTCTGTTTCACCAGCTAGCTTTAGCAATAACCTGCTGCAATTGTAGCTCTCCTAGGGAGCAAATAAAATTCAGCTCTCAGCTCAAAGCAAATCAAGAAAATTTGCTTCAGAGAAGTGGCTGGTTTGTAAGTGCTGTGGTTTAATTGCAGAACAGCAGCCCATCCAAATGCATTCAAGGAGATCCCACAGCTCTTCTCTGCCTGTGAATCTACGTACTGAAGACTGTGTGCTCAGATAAAATAGCACAGCTTCTGTCCTGCAGACAGAGTGCTGACAAGTACTGGGCTTATTACTTGTCATTGTGGCAAATCCATTTATTCTACTTACTCCAAAAGGCATGAGTGACACAATGTTCTGTAATCTTGAAGTCAACTTGGCGGTGGTTAAGCAGTGGAAAACAGAGACTGAGTAATCTTTATTTATAAAGTCCAACAACATTATGTCTCGAGCATAAAAAACAAACTACTGAGCCCCTCTCTCCAGACTACGAGAATTTAAAACATTGCCAACTCATCCAAGTAAAGCAGTCCCATTGACTGCAAGAGGCTGCCTTTTGATGGGTCAGACCAACAAGCAAACTAATGTCTGCATGTAACATTTAGCAACTTGGGTGTAAAGGGGAGTGTAGGGGCTGAAGAAAGAGGCATCTCCATGGGCTACTTTCCCTTTCTAAAGTCACTGTCTGTCCTTCAGCATCTTGAGCCTTGCAATAAAATGAAACAGGAATCAAACTGATCCTGGTTTTAATTCTTGCAGGACCAAACCCTCAGATACATTGGCATGGGAGTCCGGCACTAAACACCCTGAAATACCCACTGATTCAGGTTTGTTGGAAATATATACTGGCCATCTAACACAGTTCTTGTTTCACATCCCTGGAGTTTACATCAAAGTTAGGTCCTACTTAGTAGAGATCGTTCCTGGTACATATAGGCATAACAAAGGGGGATTTCAATGTGCACTTGTAATATTTTTGCTAGTCTTTGTCCCCTTTTATTTAGTGGTAACAGAGTATACAGTGACTAAACAGGTAATATTAACATACCAAATATAAACCACACCTTTTCCTTTGGTTTTCTGGTAAGAATCCTTAGTTTCTGGAAAACAACCCTGTTCTACTCAAGTCACCAGATCCACACCAGCTAATAAAGAGGGATGAGCAAATCCAAATCAAATACAGACCGTGTTTTATTATTGAAAATAGGAGAGGGTTTCTGGCCAGCTGCCAGGAAATTAATGCAGGATTAGCTGCCTGTTTCTTGTTTCAAATCCCTGACCTTCTATCGCTGTTTGAATTTCCACCTTGGTATACACCTGGGAGAGGTGGTTGCTTCTTGTAATGGGCAAATCTCTTAATTGTGCCAAACAAGTAAAACAGGAAAAAAAGCAGGAAAAAGCAAGTCTTTTACTGGAGTAGGTAAGCAGACCCTGTAAGACTGGATGCAGACACATATCGTACTGGGGGAAGGTGGTGTGTTTTCTCCAAAATATGCTTCACAGCAACCTTTCATAGTCTCTGTATTTAGTGGGGACTTATTTCTACCCCTGTCAATGAGTAATTGGAGCCTCAACTTCTCCAGGCCTGGACCTGGTGCTCTTGACAGTAAACTGCATGCAGCTCAAAGACACCTCTTTTGCTAATATTTCAGTCCTCAGGGTGAAGAAAGACAGACTGGGGGGGAAAAGGGAAGCTACCTTTTGGGTCAATGTGAGCCAGAAACTCAAAGTCTGCACCCAGGGTCATGCACAGTCTTGGGGTGTTCTGCTCCACAGCTGGTTAGTGTTCAATTCCAGGACCAAATAGGCAAAGGCATCATATTAGGAATTTTCTCAACCACCTTTCGATGAGACCGCATCCCAACAAATACCATGTTAGTACTGAAGGCTTGAGCTACAGTGCTGAGGCATTACTAGTGTTTTGGGTTAATCTATGTTAAAAAAAAAAAAAAAAGAATGAGGGCTGAGTTGTTTTTACAGGGTCCTGAATGGCTTTATATTGTGTGAGGGTTACAGAAATGAGAGCACTGACCACCTGTTAGAGACTGTCTGGCACGTCTCAGCCCAAGATAATGTACATCTGCTGGTTTCCAACTCATATAGCAGCCAAAAGCACTGTGAGCCAGCCATGATAAAAGAAGAGGTACGCACAAAAAAAAGCAGGGTGCAGTTCACTAACCTTTGCCTCCTGCCCTGTTCAAAAAAACCAAAAGGCCAGTGACCAGTCAATGTAAATTAAGGCCAGAGGTCCTCTTGGAAACACCAGCTTTGTTTTGAGTCAACACACACTGGGTGATTTGCACTGACTGCCCTTGAGTGGGCAGGGCTAGTTCGGAAATCACCGAAGGCTGGAAATACTCCCAGGTATTGCAGTCGTCGGGGCTGGTTTTTGCACTGGACATGTAACGACAGCCCAGAACTGGCTGCCCTCACAGCCTTGTTCTCTCCATTTCAGGTGCTTTAGCAAACTTCCTTGGACCCCCCCTCATCCAGCTGCCCACTGGCCTCGCTTGTAAGAGAAGCAAGCCTAGCCTGGGTCCAGAGATCCCAAAACCCAACAGCAAACCACAGCCTTGCTTTCTGCCCACCCTCCCCAGCGGCCAAATCAAGCATATTTGCAACGACCCCCCAGTTTCAGCACTTTGCTGAATTGCAGCCTAAAACCAGCATCCCAAACCTCACGGTGCAAGCCTGGCACCCAGAGAGGTGCAAGGCTGGAGGAGCCCAGTTCCTGCCTCCTGGTGAATTGATTTTCAGATGGGGAGAAAAGCTGCCAAGTAACAGCACTTGGGAATGGGGCCAGGCTTCCCACTGACATAAGCAGGGCATCCCCACTGGAACAGTTTCTTTTTGCACACAGCCGTCTCCCCAAAATAAAACAGTTTGCTGCAATGACAGCATGCGCTCTGTAAGAGGCTGTTGTCAAAAACTATGCCTTTATTCCGATACTGAAAGGGGAAGTGAGTCAAGAGGCCCTTAATCTTGTTAAGAGGTCGGAGGAGCACATTAATTGGCCTGTCTAGACCAACTCCATGTCTAAATGCTGTTATTGCAGCCTCTCATGCAAACGTTGAAATTAGAGTGTGGGACCACACAAAAAATTTTAAATTTCCTTTCTTTATGTTGCATCACCCTATTTCCTGCCTGCAGCCTTTTTTTCTTTCAGTTCTTAATAAAAAAGAACAAAGTTTTGCTTTTCTATCTGTTTCTGTATTGCTAAGTTTCCATGCTTTGTAACTGTTGGGAAAAAGCTAAGGCTGTGATTGCATTAGAAGGAAAATACATAAATACGCTGTTAAAAGGTAAGCCTAGGACAGAGCGTGCTCAGTCGCCACAGCTGCCACACTGGCATTGTGCAACAGAAATGTGAGGGAAGGGCCCCTGCTGGGCTCCATTGCAAGGTTCAAGTTTACAACTCGAATTTGGGTCAAATTTGAAGAAAATCTCCAAATCTTAAAGCAGTTGTGACTGAGACAGGATGTCCCCCAGGCCACGGTCGGGGGAGGGACTCTTTCTGGAGCAGAGGATGTCTCTTCTATCCCTGCAGACTGGTGCTTGCCAGGTACAGTGCTGTGGCACTGATGGGAAAACTGACAGGGTTTATCAGAAAGCAGATGACCATGCTGAAACCCACCAGCCCATGTGGACTCCCCAGGCACAACCCCTGCAGAAAACCCCACTGCACCAACACCATCAAGAAATTGATGCCTGTCCTTGCAGCAGGGCACCTGAGCTCAGGCAGGGTTGTCCAGCCCATTTGTCTCTGGTGGCAGTAGCACTGTCCTCATCCAGAAGCATCTCTCGTCAGGCCAGGGGTGCCCAAAGGCTGTTAATAAGTGTCACACTTCTCAGAAACTTCTCATAAGTCATTCCGGTGTTGCCAGGAGAAGAAACTGCATGGCAATAAACCAGAATTGTTTGGTTCCTGTTAATTAGCCAGGGAAGTAGTAAACATTAACTACCCATGAGAATCATGTGATGCATGCAGATGTTCAGGCCCCCCTCTCGGCTAAACACTTTGCTTTTTCATTTGGAGGTTTCTGGAGGTGGGCTGTCTTGTGAATCCTCTAGGATATGACAGCACACATGAGGGGGGTTAAACATGCAGCAAGGAAGGAGAAGCAGCAGCTACCCCTCCCTGCATCATTAGTCACTGTCACATCCTTCGTCCTCCAGCACATCAGGGAGTTGGTTCGACAGCACTGGCAGCAGCAGCATTCACCTTTCCAAGAGAGCAGGAAATGAAGGGAAGGTCCACATGGTCCCCTGCACCTTCGCTAGGTGTGCAACCACAGCTTGAGTGGGAGGCGCGTGGTCCACAGGTCAAGTAACCTGAAAGCCTCTGCCTTTCAGAGGCTGAGGTTCAGCCTGGTTTTAGAGAGAGTGGAGAGTGACACAGTGCTCCTCTCTCCATCAGGCACTGCCATAGCCATTGAGCGTCCCAGCAGAGAACGACGGCCTGGGCTACATGGCTCCATGCCTGGTGGGGAAAGCCAAGGCTTTGTCTTCTTCTCACACCCTACAGGTTGCCTGGGAGGAGGCTGCCCGTCCTCCTCTGCACCGACAGACAAGAAAGATGCCCGGTGCCGACAGATGTCTGAGGCTCACTGCTGGCATTTCATGACCTATGGCCAGGCGTATGCTTGGGTACTGTCTGCCAGTGGTCAGCCTGGTCATATGGATGGACCCACGAGCCCCATATACGCGTTGGCCAAGCACCTGTGAAAACCTTACCAAATAGATGGCACGTGCCACCAGCGTGGATGTGACAACATTTACAGCACCTCTTCTGCCCAGGTTTAGCAGTGGCTTGAGATGGCCGATGGATAAGCCAGACTAGAGGGCAGGCTCCTCTGTCCTGGGGCCCTGTCTGTGTGGTTCCTCAAGCCTTCCTGTCATTGCATGAATCACAGCCACCTCCAAGCGCGTGGAAGAGGCAAGTGAGCAGATGCATGTCTCATGAGGCAGCCAGCTACTGTTGTTTCTTCCTGTCTGCTTTAGGGCATCTCGGCACAAGACAAGTCCTCAACTTGTTTTGATCTGGCTGGCGATTTTGGTTGCCCTCGTTTTCAAATGCTTTATTACAGGTATCTTCAAGGAGCCTAAGTTTTTCCAGGATGTGGTGATTGTATTCCCACCCATCCCTGCACTCTAAAATTGGTTGCAGTTGGACACTGCATAATTTGCACATCCAAAAATACAATTGCTTTGAAAACTGTCAGCTGGAGCACTTCTGCAGTGTAAACACAGGCTCTTCAGCATCACCTTTTTGGGCACAGAAATACAATTGCTTGGTTACTTTTGGAAACCGGAGCTTGTGCACATCTCCCTTCAATAAGGATTACATTTCTGTTAATGAGCCTCTAGGAAATCACAGATTACATTTTTTAAACCTAGCTCCATACCTACACACAACCATCCCCTGACCTGAGCCAGCATCAAGAGATGGAGCACTCTCGGTTTTGGGTAAGGAAATGAGACACTGATGTTTTATGGACTGCAGAGGCAACCATACACCTGCATTTTGAGAGTCTCATCAACCCTCCCAGCCTAGGGACAGCCGCAGTGCTGAGGGTGATGCTGTAGAGCTCTGAGGTCCAACTTGCAGAAGGGATGTGATGCCACCCCAGGGATAAGGTGATGTGGAGGCTCTGAGACATCCCGAGACGGAGGCCCAAAGCCACCTTGCCCCTCTCTGTCCATCATTTTTCCTCCACACTGCTGCCATCTCCTTGCTGTGCCTGCTAAAATCTCCCCAGACACCAGGTCAGCCCATTGCAGGGTCCCGACTGGCACACAAAAGTAAGAGCTGTATGGAGATCCCAAGAGAGAATACCATGCTTGCCCTTCTGAAGCTGGTGAAGATGACCCAATGCTCGGCATCCGTACTGTTTTTTTGGGGCTGGCATTTCCCACAGAGAGCACCACAGCAGCCCTCTGAGCTTAGGGACCCTGGGACCGAATGCATCTCTGTGGTGGCCCAGGGAGTGTGCAGCACTGGAAGGGCAGGGGATATGTGTGCCCCACACCCTCCTGATAAGGCCCTGGACAACACTCTGGCCTCAGCGTACAAACCATATCACATATGTTTAAACCAGTCCTGGCAAATTCATCACTGCTGTAGGTCAAAGTCTCTGGTTGTCTCTGGGGCTTATGCAGAAGAAATGCCTGGAGGCCCAACATCTGGGTGCCTCAGCCTGCAGCTTGTGCAGGTAGGTGGAGGTGTGTGAAGCAGATTCAGAACTACACAGAAATGCAGTATTTTCCTTCCAGATGAAGAGAAACAGAGCATGTTGAGGAGAGAGGAAAAAATCCCAGGAGAGGTGAAGAATGAAGCAAAAAGCAAAGTGGGGCAGGGGGGAAGCTTGGAGAGAGAGAAAGAGAAACAAAGCAAAACCAGCTTTGAGTATCAAAAAAGTACTTACTCAAAAGCAAAGTTTGTCATTGGTACCAGTTTGTAATTTGAATGTGATGCAAAGCAAAAATGAAGAATTGAACCTCCGTTTTCCCCACGCCGCTTCTCACATGCTGCTTCCCGCAAGCAGCACTGCGTGCTCTGCCACAGCAAGCTACCAAAGGGCATTCGACCAGTAAGCAGTCACCCGGGAGATCAGACTCGGGCTTGGTGTGAGGACAGCTGAATGGTTGCAAACACTTAGTGAAACCACAAGAGCCCGCCCCTGGTGTGTATGGATTTTTTTTCTGTCTGTTACCGAGCTTTTAGAAGGCAACTAAGCATAATTACAGCTTGCAGCTTCTCTCTCTCATTGCTTTACAAAGCACCCAGGCATGACATTGATCCTGCGCACTGCTTTTAACACAGATGTGTTACTTCATTGATAACACACTAACCCAGTGTATTTCATTGACAGAACTTGCATTTAAGATGGAGAAAATCAAGAGGACTCAGCAGACTCTGCTGGCAAATGCTAAGCAAGATCTGCCCGTCCTTGTGTGGGTCATGTTGATTTCCTGAGAACCCTCTGATGAACAGGGTCCTACCCACACAACAAAAAGCAGCCTCATCTCCGGTGAAATACATACATTAGTCATTTCCAGGTACTCATCTTATTTCAGGCAAACTCTGAATGAAAAGCACTGTACTGATTCCCTGGTGTACTGGGTTTGCATGGCAAGGTTTTGGTAGCAGGGGGGTTACAGGGGTGGCTTCTGGGACAAGATGCCAAAAGCTTCCCCCATGTCCAGCAGAGCCCATACCAGCCGGCTCTAAGACGGACCCGCTGCCAGCCAAGGCCGAGCCCATCAGCAATAGTGGTAGCACCTCTGGGATAACAGATTTTAGAAAGAAAAAAGTTGTGGGACACACAGAAACAGCAGACGGAGAGAGGAGTGAGAACATATAAGAGAAACCACCCTGCAGACCCCCAGGTCAGTGCAGAAGGAGGGGGAGGAGATGCTCCAGGTGCCAGAGCAGAGATTCCCCTGCAGCCCATGGGGAAGACCATGGTGAGGCAGGCTGTCCCCCTGCAGCCCACGGAGGTCCACGGTGGAGCAGATCTCCACCTGCAGCCTGGGGAGGACCCCACGGTGGGGCTTGTTTTGTTTGAATAGGTTTGTTCCTATTTCTTATTATACACTCTGAATTTTGACTGGCAATAAATTAAATTAATTTCTCCAAACTGAGGCTGTTTTGCCCATGACAATAATTGCCAAGCGATCTCCCTGTCCTTATCTCGACCCATGAGCCATCATATTTTCTATCCCCTGTTCAGTTGAGGAGGGGGAGTGACAAAGCGGTTTGGTGGGCACCTGGCATCCAGCCAGGGTCAATCCACCACACCTGGAAGCAAAATGCATACCAACCTGCTTTTGTCCTCCATGCAGACACCACACACACTTATTCCTCACGATTTGCTTCCTCAAAGACATCTCCACGTGTGCACCAACAGCTTGTCCTGACACGCCAGTGTTTGCGTATGATCAGGCAAAACGAGCACATACTCTCCCCCAGAAAGAAAGCTGTGACAACGCAAATGTCCCCAAGAAGGCAAAATCTCTCATCGTCTCCTCTCCAGGGGTCTCTTGGTGCAGCCCTGATGTCCTGCTCTGCAGACACCCAGCGCAAACACAGCAACCACAAAGTGCAAAATTTCAGCTTTGTGCTTCGGCCGGGCCTTGAACTCCTTTTTTCCTCTTTGGATGCTGCTGCCCTCCAGCATGAGCACCTTGCAATACTGCTGGGCATTTACCTTCCTGCCTTGTTCCCGTGTCAAACTGGGGATGTGGAGTGCAGACAGATCCAGCAGCATCCCCTAGGAAAAAAGCATATCTGCTTGCTCTGGCCCACACTGCTCCCTGAGGAAGGATGGAGGCTGTGAACATGGAGCAAGTGACTGAAAACCTCAGGCTGAGCTTGAGATATTTAAAGCAATCACACAACAAGTGTAAGTCTCTCAGCTCGAGACCTGAAGTTCCTTGATACTGGAGAGTGTGGATGAGCGTTCCCGTGTTTGCAAACATCATGCCAGCAGTACCTTCCTTTCTGGAGACCCAGAGCATGCCATAAACCCAGCTGAGCTCACAGAAGGTTTCTCTAAACAGAAATTAGTAGGTTCTTTCTAATACAAGTCCCAAAAGTACCAGCTTCATCAGCTCCGGAGTGCTTTGAGGTTCCTTTCTCCAAAGAACTTACTAAGAATGGAGCGATAATGAGTGGGAGGGTGGTAATGCATTTTTTCTTGGGTCTCAGGACGAAATGCTTGGTCAACAAATATCCTGCCTTGGTAAGGGGAGATTAACTGTGGCCGAGATCCTTGTTCTCCTTTTTTTTTTTCCTCGGCTTCCCCTCTCATCTTTTAACCAGACATGCTACACCAAGCATTCAAAAGACTCTGGGTAATTACATCAGCAGTACATCATCTTGGGAGACAGAAGCATGTTTGCTCTGTGACTTATGCTGGCACAACACCAAGCACACCTATCTAATTATTAAATATTTACTGCACCTCTAATAGGTCAGTTACAAAAGCAAAATATTCCAGAAGAGCAGGCTGGAAGGAAAGGGAAAGTACAATTAAAGGCTGCTGCTTTGTTGCAGTGTCAGGGCCAGGTGCAACACTCCTAATTTCCATTGTAAGGCACTGGCAATAACCTGGCCTTCCTATGATAAAATCTGATGCAGCTGTGCCTGGAGTTGTTGCCTCTAGAAGCTACCTCATTTCTGCAAGTCTCTGCGTCCAGCATTGCTTAATGCTGGACGTGACTGACCATCTGTGCCACGGCTGTAGTAGTATACTCCCTGTAGCTGTCCCTTTTACTGCATCTCACATTTGAATGGTCGGGTGACTTAGTAGTGGTTTTGGGAGACAGAAGTTTGTCTTAGATATGCTCACGGGAGCTTGGAAGGGTTAACTTGTGAGAAGTTAGCACAAGGTGCTGGACGTGGGTCCCTGCTCTCTTTTCATTTCCTTTGTTCTTCCTCTTCTTTTTCCTCTCATTTTCTGGTTTCCTCACTCTCAGTCACATCCCTATGGGGAAATGGAACATGAATGCCTACTGTGCACCAGACCCCAAAGCCTGCTTTCTGTTGGTGAATGCTTTGCAGTGCTACCCTCGGGATGCCCAGCTGTAGACCCCCAGCCCACCTCGGGTCTCACCGCTCGATGGCGTTTCCTCCAGCCACCAACACACATTGGTTCACAAAGCAGAAAA